CCACTTTAGGCACTTCAAAAATCGGTAGGTTTTGCACGAATGTGGGTATGTCTTTGATAAATTCGGCTTCGTTCTCGGCGATGTCGCCGAGTGGTTGCGTTGCGTCTAAGTACGTCAGGTGGTAGTGCTGACGGAGTTCCTCCGAAGAGAGGGATGCGTTGCTTGTAGCTGTGGATACGTTGGACGTGGTTTTGTCTATTTTGTGGCCCATTACCTGTGGGAAAGTGGTGGGATGAATGTTGCTGTTTGGATGTCCTATAAATAGAACAAAACTGGTTTCAGAGAATTTGTTCCGTATTGTGCAAGAGTCAGGCAAAATTGGCAGTCGAATAAAAATAAGTTGCACTAAACGATGTTGTTTTTTTCTGATGTTTGATATTTTTTGGTGTTGCTAATAAACTCTTAATTCTACATACAATGTATTCTGCAACAATGATAGACTTTTAGAGCTGTTCATTTTCGACTTACCTGTACAGATAGTTTCCGGAAGTGCGATCTGTTTCCGGTGGAGAAGTGGTTCTCGACCCACTCGCGGATTTGCGGCACGTACACATTGGCAATGGCATTAGCCTGGAAAAATCAATACGTAATACAGGGTGTTAATTTAAATGCGTGCCATAGCTTCAGGGTAGGACCCTTTATATACCAGCTATTGTTCTGTTTTTTCATAGGTTTTGAACATTATGTTGAGGGTAGTAAGATTCAAAATCACTGGTACATATGCTGTACCACGGTTGATGAGGAATTTGGTGTCGATTAAGGATGGCGTAAAAATATTGAAAAACATACTATTAAAAAAACGGACTTAGCCATTTTTTTTAAATTTATGACACGGTTTTGGTTTAGAGGTGAGTTCCGATCATGAAACCAAACAACTTTCCCCAAAACACATGGGTCAGTGTTTTGGGCCTAGTATCTTTAATATATAAAACTCAAGAAGTCTGACTGTCAACAACGCACAGCCTAAACTACTGGACCGATCCGGCTGTAATTTGGCATGCAGATAGCCACTATAATGTAGGCATCCACTAAGGAAGGATTTTTCGAAATTCAACCCCTAGGGGGGTAAAACGGGGGATGAAAGTTTGTATGAAACTTTTTATTCCTTCGATATAACTGCTTCAAATTTCGTATTTAGGAAGAACTTTAATAATAATGAATGACGTGTTTCAGCATTTTCCAATTTTAAACCCCTGAGGGGGTAAGAAAGGGGATGAAAGTATTATATTTACGCACAGGCCGCACCTTTGAAGCTACAGTTTTGAAATTTGGCACCCTTATTTTTAATAAACAGTTGATATTATTTTGATTTAGGAGTATTCAAAATTCATCCCCCGATGGGTTGACATAGGGGATGAAAATTACGCATTGTCGTAAAAACCAAACCCTTAGAGCTAGAAGCGTGAAATTTGGCATGTGTATTCATTAAGCAACGTTAGCATCCACTAAGAAAGGATTTTTCGAAATTCCTTCCCTAAGGGGGTAAAACGGGGGATGAAAGTTTGTATGAAACTCTTTATTCTTTTTATATAACTGCTTCAAATTTCGTATTTAGGAAGAACTTTAAAAATAATGAATGACGTGTTTTAGCATTTTTCAATTTGCAACCCCAGAAAGGATTTTTCGAAATTCAACGAAGGGTAAAACGGGGGATGGAAGTTTGCATGAAATTTTTTATTCCCTTGATAAATTCGCTCCAAATTTCGTATTTAGGATGAACTTTAAAAATAATGATTGACGTGTTATAGCATTTATAAATTTTAAGCCCCTGAGGGGATAAGAAAGGGGATGAAAGTATTATATTTACGCGCAGGCCGCACCTTTGAAGCAACAGTTTTGAAATTTGGCACCCTTATTTTTAATAAACAGTTGATAATTATTTTGATTTAAGAGTATTCAAAAGTCATCCCCCGATGGGTTGACATAGGGGATAAAAATTACGCATTGTCATAAAAACTAAACCCTTGGAGCTAGAAGCGTGAAATTTGGCATGTGTATTCCTTAAGCAATGTAGGCATCTACTAAGAAAGGGTTTTTTGAAAATCAACCCGAAGGGGTAAAATGGGGGATGAAAGATTGTATGAACTTTTTTATTCCTTTGATATATTTGCTTCAAATTTCGTATTTAGAAAGAACTCTAAAAAAATGAATGTCGTGTTTTAGCATTTTCCAATTTTAAATCCCTGAAGGGGTAAGAAAGGGGATGAAAGTATTGTATTTACGCGCGGGCCGCACCCTTGAAGCAACAGGTTTGAAATTTGACACCCTTATTTTTAATAAACATTTGATATTATTTTGATTTAGGAGTATTCAAAATTCATCCCCCGATGGGTTGACATAGGGGATGAAAATTACGCATTGTCATAAAAACCAAACCGTTGGAGCTAGAAGCGTGAAATTTGGCATTTGTATTCCTTTAGCAACGTATATATCCATAAAGTTGGAATTTTTGAAATCTTACCCCTAAGGGGTAAAATGAGGATGAAATTATCCATGAAACTTTTATTCCTTTGACATAATTTGCTTCAAATTACGTATTTAAAAAGAACTTTCAAAGTTACGATTGTTGTGTTTTTGTAATTTCCAATATTTTACCCTAGAGGGGCTAAGAAAGTATTGTATTAAGAGGGAGAGGGAGAGGGAGAGGGAGAGGGAGAGGGAGAGGAGAGAGGAGAGGGAGAGGGAGAGGGAGAGGAGAGGGAGGAGAGGGAGAGGGAGAGGAGGGAGAGGGAGAGGGAGAGGGAGAGGGAGAGGGGAGGGAGAGGAGAGGGAGAGGGAGAGGGAGAGGGAGGGGAGAGGGAGAGGAGAGGGAGAGGAGGAGAGGGAGAGGGAGAGGGAGAGAGGAGAGGGAGAGGGAGAGGGAGAGGGAGAGGGAGGAGAGGGAGGAGAGGGAGAGGGAGGAGAGGGAGAGGGAGGGGAGGGAGAGGGAGAGGAGAGAGGGAGGGAGAGGGAGAGGGAGAGAGGGAGAGGGAGAGGGAGAGGGAGAGGGAGAGGAGAGGGAGAGAGGGGAGAGGGGAGAGAGAGAGGGAGAGAGGGAGGGAGAGAGGGAGGAGAGGAGGGAGAGAGGAGAGGGAGAGGAGAGGAGAGGGAGAGGGAGAGGCAGAGGGAGAGGGAGAGGGAGAGGGAGAGGGAGAGGGAGAGGGAGAGGGAGTATTTTTTTTTATGATTTACCCCATAAAACGGATGAAAATGGTGATGAGGTGTTAGTATTTATGTGTAACAAATCATACAACGCAATACACATCTCTTTGTTATTCCCCTATAAGAACGCGGGCGAAGCCGCGGGTTTTAGCTAGTTTCATATAAACTGGACTTATTGCGAATTGGACATTTTGTAAATTGGACATTTTACAAACTGGACATTTTGCAACCTGGTCATTATGCAAACTGGTCATTTTTCACCACTGAACATTTTGCAAAATGGACATTATGCACCTAAAGGGAAAAATGAGCTGCTATGCAGCGGGTGAAACCGCTAACGGGCCGCTAGTAATTAATGAAAATTGTTAGTTAATGCTAATTTATTCAGCAGATTTGTCGAGTCGTCCGTCAACTTGGTGTAGTAATGAATACGTAGATGTTACTACATTTCATTATCTTTATTTTAAGCTTATGTTTTAAACTAATATAGGCAGATGATGGTTAAATATGTTAAAAACGTTTAACCATCATCAGCCTATATTAGTTTTATTATAAACTGAGCATTGAACACAATCTTTGTCTATGGTAAGACTCATCCATTTTTTCTAGCCCCTTCGAAATATTGTGTTTTCCGATCTGCCAACCTCTACGATACTCTAGGGTTAATCGGGTCGTTCGTCTACTTGGTGTCCCAGACAGAGTACAAAATCTCTCTTGAAGAATTAGACTAAAATGAGTCAAATATTAAAACGGTGTTCTCTCTTACCGCGGTATATTATTTATTTGAATTGCCAGATATAAACAGGACTATAAACTAAAATAAAATAAGTAATCACACAAACCTCATTGAATAGTCTCTGGAACTGATATTCTCTGCTCAGTATCTCTCTCCAGTTTCTTTCCACCTGTAAAAAAGGGGCAAAATAATCGATTACATCTAAACACTTGCCTTTTCACCATTTACTATTTCCACTACCTTTTACAATTTCTTTTCCATCGCTCTATTTGCTAAGCGAGAGAGAGATAGATATAAGCTTTAAAGAATAATATTTCGGGATAGACGAAAATGACACTACCTTAGAGTATATATGAGCTTTAAAGAAGTTATAGAGTGTACCTAACCAGCTATGAACGGGTGGCACAACCATGAACACAACCTCTCTGTCCATCTCTGTCTTTTACACTCTACAGCTTATTTATGTATACTCTATACCAAGTACCTACCTCTTCTTTAAGTTCATAGTCCGTGGTATGTTTGAGTTGTATGAGGGACTTCTTTATAGCTAAGAGTGTCTACATTTGATAGAACTTTGGATTACGCTGGGCACAGGCACTCTATACCTAGTTTATGTAACTATACCAAGTCACACCTACCTCTTCTTTAAGCTCGTAGTCTGTGGTATGCTTGAGCTGTATGAGCGACTTCTTTGTAGCTGAGAGTGACTTCTCGGTGAGTTTCTTGGTCATCTCGCGGTAGAACTTCTTCAGGAAGGCTTCGACCCGCGAGTCCACGTGTGCTACACTGTAAGAGTAAAGAAACTGCTGCTTTATTGAACTCGTTTATTTTCAGCCTAAGCTAGGCCATTTCCAGTTTGAAGCTGATCAAAATGTTATTAAAAATTGTACAAAAAGCATTAGTAAACACGGTAAATATTCTACCAAAAACGGTTACTAAAAAGAATAAACTAAAAATTAGAAGCCACAAGACAAGAAATTAAACTGAAATTCTTTTGTTATGTTATAAAGATGTTATTTGCTGAAAAATATGATATCAATAGTGTTCTGTCAGGTTCGCGACCCACAAATATTTATAAATTTGACCGAAGCAAGTGGTTCACAATTTCGCCGCCTGGGTTACAGCCACCGTAGTATAACGGTAACACGTCCGACCCGGCTTGTCAGAAGACGTGGGTTCGAATCCCATCAGAGGCGGAATTTTTTCCACTTGCTTCGTTTGTATTAACTTTGTAAACAAAAAGTTAATATATAAATTTGTACAATTTTACTGACCTAAACTTGTCAACTTGCGTGTTGACTGTGATTGACACGCCCAGCACTCCAAATGTGTACCGCATCATGCTGTACACCGAATAACCGAGTTGTTCTTTCGTGCGGAGAGCGTCGAACACTGGCTCTTCCATTAACATCTGTAAAAATTATAAATAAGTTAAAATATTTTCTACTTTAGTCAGAATTTGAACATGTGAGTTTGCCTAGCGACGCTTCTAACAAACTGAACGAAGAAATTGAACAAGTGTTAGAGTAAGATGCTTTGGACTGTTAATCCGACTGCCTCTTCCCTCGGTAAACGGTCACATATCTATTTGCTTGTCATGTACTCCAAAAATCCACTCCTTCTCAGTTTAGTAAGAGCCTTATCAAACTAGAACAGGTTTGCGAGTGGGTGCGAAGCGGAGCGGGCATTCGGCGGATTCGCAAAGTTTTCATTGCTTATTTGTACTGAAAACGTTGCGCATCCGCCACGCGTCCGCGACGAATTCGATGTGCATCCGCCGCGCCTGCTTGGCTCTGCATAAGCTCGCAAATACAAGTTTGATAAAGTAAGATCTGTTTGCAGATTTCGTCTGCTATTCTCCGTTTTTCCGCAGTAATAAGTAGTTTATGTTACTCAGGAATAATGTAATGTTATCAACATCTTCCTGCCCTGTTCCTAATCAGTTGGGGTCGGCACAACATATTTTGTTAGACACGGAAATAATGTAATGTATGAAATACAAAAGTTTAACTACGGAACGGAAGGGCGATTTAGACACTTACAGTCAACAGTTCTAAGACAGCATTATCCTCTGGTGTAACCACCTCTCCCTGGTAGTAGTTGGTGACGATACTGTTGGTGGAAAGTGGGTTGAGGCTCATCACGCGTATCTTCTTCTCTCCTAAAGGCAGCTGGTGCACTTGCAACTGGCAAATAGATAAAAACAGAGATAAATACTCGAAATGGGAGTTTTTTAACAACCTAATACGAAAGGCTTCTACACAGTTAATTTTGACAGTTATTCCGAAATAGTCTAAGCGCCACCTTTCGGATTAGTTACTCCAGAAAACGACCATTAATAAAACTTAAGTTGTGCGTTTTAAACTCTGACAAAAGTTTCTTGACCCAACATACAAAACTTGCGCGTCCTGATTTGCGTCAATTTGTATGAGAGATCAATGAACTTCTGTTGCTGACACAATGTTTTTGTCGAAGACGCATGCATGTCATAAATGTCATAATCATAATAAATACTTATGCGTCTACGAAACATCGTTTGCGGAAACGATCACTTTGTTCTTTGTAAAATAAAAGTAAGTAAGTGAAAATAAGAAATAGAAAAAATGTCATACATCGACCGGGAATCGAACCCGGGCCGCGTGGGTAAACGCCCCACCGCTCTGCCACTCAGCTATCGATGTACCTGCCGATGGATGCCAAATTTTCTATCTCTTGATGCTCGTCTTGAACATTTTTTCTATTTCTTATTTTCACTTGTGAGAATAATATAGCACTGTGAGTGCATTAAAATCCCAATAGATGGATTAAGCAAGCTTCATCATATGGTTTGAATTCCACTCATAATGTGGACTAACCATATAGTAAGTTCTAAACACTTTCTATAAATGTCGCTGGATCGTCGCTTCAAGACGAGCATCAAGAGATAGAAAATTTGGCATCCATCGGCGGGTACATCGATAGCTCAGTGGCAGAGCGGTGGGGCGTTTACCCACGCGGCCCGGGTTCGATTCCCGGTCGATGTATGACATTTTTTCTATTTCTTATTTTCACTTGTGAGAATAATATAGCACTGTGAGTGCATTAAAATCCCAATAGATAAAAGTAAGTAAATAATCTTGTTATTAATACTCCATGTTACCTCTGGATATTCGTCGGGTTGGAAGCTGTCCCAGCCGATAGTTTTGTATACGTTCTCAGCAATTCGGATCGCTTCGTCCCACGGGATGTTGCCTTGCATCAGAGACTGCAACGAATTATACACAAAATTAGCAATGTAGCTTAATTTTATAATTGATCGTAATCACTAACATGTAAAAATAAATAAATATTTAACACAAGATGTAAGGGACGGTGTAAAACTTTGCAGGCGTGCTCAAATCATGAAACTTGGTGGTAAACAAAAAAAAAAAGGAAAAAAAAATAAAGTTCTCGTTTAGCTGACTGACTCTGAATGGGATGACAAACATTTTTTCACCTCACCAGCTTAAAAAGAACTGTTTTTCAGCGTAAATTTAGTCGGCAAAGGTCGTCTTTATCCATAGTTCGAAATTCAAATCACATTTCTCAACTTGTTGAGAAAAGTAGTGGAGAATAGTTATTTGTTCAACAAGAAAGCAAAGTTGATTTTTGCTGCGAGTGCTAATTTTGAAACCCGAGGCGAGTGATTCAAAAGTAGTATCCTGAGCTCAATGAGGGATTCAAAAGCACGAGTTGTAAATGTGTTTGCTTTAGTGTGGTACACACAACTTTTCACCTCTACCAGTAAGAAAATTTTGTTTTTAAGGTTTTGTTCTTTATGGCTAGGCGAAGGGTGTGACTATACTGCCTAGAATTTAGTCTATAAATAATCCCGCCAAACAAATTTTCAAAGATGCGTTCAGAAATTTTACAAAATGTCAATATTTAGAAGTTTTCGTTCTGAAATCGCCGCCTTTATTACGACTAGTTTTTGAAATCTTTAGTGTTAAATTAGATGTTCGAAATTCAAATTACTTTTCTCCACTACTTTTCTCAACAAGTTGAGAAATGTGATTTGAATTTCGAACGATGGTTAAAGACGACCTTTGCCGACTAAATTTTCGCAGCCAAATAGTTCTTTTCAAGCTGGTGAGGTGAAAAAGTGATTTAAATTTCGAACATCTAATTTAACACTAAAGTTTTCAAAAACTACTCGTAATAATGGCGGCAATTTCAGAACGAAAACTTCTAATATTGACATATTGTAAAATTTCTGAACGAATCTTTGAAAATTTGTTTGGCGGGATTATTTATAGACTTAATACTAGGCAGTATAGTCACACATTTCGCCTAGCCATAAAGAACAAAAACTTTAAAAAAACATAATTTTTTTACTGGTAGAGGTGAAAAGTTGTGTGTACCACACGAAAGCAAACACATTTACAACTCGTGCTTTTGAATCCCTCATTGAGCTCAGGATACTACTTTTGAATCACTCGCTACGCTCGTGATTCAATTTTAGTATCCTTCGCTACCTCGGGTTTCAAAATTAGCACTCGCAGCAAAAATCAATCTTGCTTTCTTGTTGAACAAATAACTATTTTCGTTTTGCAGTATACAAGGTGTTCCAATGTAAATACATTAAATTGGAGACGTTGTGTAGGCCATCGTACCGAACAATTTTCATTATGGGGCCAAGTTACGAAAACCCCTCGTTTAGAAGTAATTAGCAACTTAAATTTGTTTAATTTAATTGAGTCCCACATTATGAAAGGAGCTTTATTTATTAGGACCTTTATTTATGTCATGTTGCCGTCTTGGAAAAACTTTTGACATTACCGCCACAACTTTTGCCAAGGCAACGGTTTTGGCGGTAATTTAGTTGCCAAGGCAACAGTTGTGGCATAGACTAAAGTCAAATGTCATGTTCGTCAAAAACTGACACAACTCACATTACAGACTCTACTGGATTCTCTGATTGGCCCTTTGTCTTTGCGTCTCTATGGGTGCTCTAAGTCAAAAGAAGTTTTTAGTTTGAGGCGGTAATAAAATAAAGTTGACACCAAGAAAGAGATCTTTTATCTTAAGTTTTCGTTTAAATTTAAAACATAGACAACTATGTTCCAAACTTTTTCGAAGATTCAAATCCAACAAGTTAAAAATGCAAGGTTGCAATCTTGGATAAGGGGTAATACATAATGGTTGTAGTAAATGTAGGCATTTAGTTTGTATGAAAATTTCAACTTCAAGAATTCAAACTTGGTGCCATAATGGAAATTGTTTAGTACAATGGTCTACACAACGTCTCCAATTTAATGTATTTCCTTTGGAACACCTTGTATGTTACAGTTGTTCAAAGTCTTCGTTACACCGTCCCTTACACCCTGTATTTCCGATACATATCCTTGCTAAGGAATCTGCAAATTAATAGTTAAAATACCTAATAGGATATTACATGTTACTAAGTTTATGATAGCTTGGTTTCTTATATGCTACCGTGTCATGCGTTAGACACTGTTTTCTCTTATTTTATATCTTTATGCACTGCACTTTTGCCGAGCACTCATAAAACTTTTCAATACCTTGTATTTTAATTATTGTTAATATCAACGAAACAAGTGGAAAAAATTCACGCCACCGATGGGATTCGAACCCACGTCTTCTGACAAGCCGGACAATAATATCAATATCTAGTGTTTGAGTAAAACACCAAGTATTCGAAAATACTAACTTGTGGAAAATTTCTACAAATTAGTAAAACATTCTTGTATTTTAAGTTTTGATACGTACCTGCATGTAAAGCTTGGCAAACAGTCGCTCGTTGAACGCCTTGAGCTCAGTGAGGGTGATGCTGCGAATCAGCATCGCCTTGTCGCGCGGAGATATGTACGGCTCTATTAGAATGTTCATCCGAATGTCCCTGAAAAAACAATAATAAATTAACTTATTCAAAGTTGCTAAAATTGCATACATTACTTTTGGTAATAATAGATCCCACCCAAAACATAAATGTGAAAGGCTGCCAAGTTCGATAATATTGGAATGCTTCGCCTATAAAAGAAGTGAGATCTAAATAAGTACCAAGTTCCATACACAGACCTCAGTTAAAAATAGTTACAGGAATGCACACTTGATTTTTCGCAGTTTGGAAATAAGAATCTACTTTCCAAACTGCGGAAAATCAAGTGTGCATTCCTGTACATAAAAATAGTTACAGGAATGCACACTTGATTTTTCG